AACAAGATTTATATTTATTTTTTGTGTAATGGTGCATAGAGGTTACTATTTTGTTGGTATTATGTCCCTTTGACTGAATTAAAGTTTTATTGATGGAATTGAAATATTTTTATCTGAGCTCACAAAAGTTGAATGAATTATAAAGCTGAGAAATGTTGAATAAACTTTTATCTTTAGAAAAGTATTTTAAAGAGAAATGTTCTTGTTGCTTGTTTGGAAATGTTTCATATGTCTGTAATGTAAGTTGGAAAATTTTGTACGTATGTGCATGCATGAATATGCTTTCATGGGTGTCTGACTGCACATGGTCAAGACGCGAATCCTTTAAGGTTACATTTTCACAAGAAAAGAGAAAAGAGAATGAACAAGCTTGTGTCTGCTATTTATAATTAATGTAACCATATCACAGGCTCCCAGAAAAAGAGCAGGAAAACTTGGTCACATGCTGGAAAAATATTTGTACATGAGTGGATTGCAACACCCACTTGTGTGTTTATTGACCAATTAAAAGCTGATATTTCCTGAAAATCTGTATGAAACTGGGTAAGCTCTTTGATCCACTTTTTGCACAGATTTGTACAAAATTCAACATTGGCTGCGGGATGCTAAATGTTTATAAAAAGTGTTAAGTTTCATAAAGGCGGCTTATAGAATAAAAAATATATAAATATAATATAAATAGAGCCACTAGCATGCAAGGGGTTACTGAGTGTTAGAGAATTTGAGAAAAACTACTATTAAGGAATGAGGGACAATAAAAGAATAAGAATTAAAAAGACAGAAGATAACAATTGACATTGCATTTAAATTTTTGAAGATCAAAGTTGGGAAGTAAGAAGCTGGAGTTTCACAAGTGAAAAGTGCAATAGAAAAAACTGTTAGCATAGAGCTTATGGTTACATCTAACCATTTCAATTGTAAATTGATGAGACCTAGCTGCCAATCTAGTACTATGCTAAAATTTATAAAGTCTTGGTACCATAGGGGAAAATTCATCAGAACTATTACCATGAAAGTATTTATAGAAAAAGAACAGTGAAGCTATGTTACAGCTTCAGTGATTGAGGCCAAGATGCCAGATCAAGACCACTAGCATTGCAGATCCTTTGGATTTTATCAAGAATCTCTAAATATATAACAAGAGCATCAGGCCAGTTGTAGCAGCAATATTTAAAGTGAGGACAAATGGTAGATAAGTTTGTAAGATAGTAATAAAAGATAGTTTCTGGTGTGAAAAATTGTCTAGCACGATACAGTAAACCAACTTTCTTAGTTACAGACTTAGCAATTGATTCAATGTACTCTTTCCACTTCATGTCAGCTGAAAATGATTGTCCAATAAAGCGCAATGAGTTACTCTCCTGGAGGTTAGCATCAGCCATGCTGAGGGAAGGTAAAAAAAGGTTCTCTCAGATGATTAAAAAAGAGCAGTTTTGTTTTTGAGGCAATAAAATTAACAAGCCACTCCTTGCCCCATTTAACAACAGATTGCAGATCATTTTTGAGATCAACTGCCACTTTGACTTTACTGAACCAATCAGACTTACTGCTAAGACAAGAGTAAATAGTTACATACTCAGCATAAATACTGAGTTGAGAACTGATGACATCAGGAAAGTCATTTATGAAAGTTAGAAACAACGTAGGTCCAAAGATAGAGCCCTGTGGAACATCTGCATTTATGTAAAAAGATCTAGAAGAGTGGCCATACAAGATAACTTTCATTTCATGCTTTGATAAGAAAGAGAAAATCAGTTCAAAAATTCATCCAGAAATATCATAACCTTTCAACTTGTGAATAAAATCATTATGCCAAACACTGTCAAATTCCTTTCAGATATCCAAAGGAAGATTCTTATAGAATCTTTCAGCTTGATAGAATCTTTCATCTTGACAGATCCTTTCAGCAATAATTGTTACTACATCAGAAGTTGACCTAAAGAACCAAAAACCATATGAAAGAAGAACATGTGATGTGGTATGCTTAACCAATTAACAAAGAGGAGGGATATAAAACTTACTCTTATTTAGGACATTATTACAAAGCTGCCAGTAGTCACATGAACCAAACTTGTTAGTGGTTATATGGTGCCTTATTCTATCAGTAAACAAAGACTTAGCCTCTATTAGTACATGTTTATTTTGAGCAGTCACAAATAGGCATCTTTTGTGACCAGAATTATATCAAATGCTACAGCTGGAAAAGAGTTATTCCTATGGGTTATAGCAGCTGAACAGGCTGGTGTGAACCAAGGTGAAGATTGTAATTTTACATGATAATTGAAAGGAGGAAGCAATAATTTTATCTGATATTTGCGAAAAAGAAGCATCACTACCAGAGAAACCCAAGAAAAAAATCTCCATGGCACAATTTTCAATAGGAAGATTAAAATTATCACTCCAAGAGGCTCTCGAATAAAGACACAATTGAATAAAGACACAAAATTAATACCAATAAATATGTTGGTAACAGAGAGACATCTTGTGAATAGGAGGTTCTTTTTTAATAGATAACTTAAAAGAAATATCAATACATGAAACAGTGCAATCTGAATTATCAAGAGGACAGAGTTGTGATAATCTGAAAGCTAGGAGAGAAGGCAAGGAACAAATCAAGTAATGAATAATGTTGAACAGATTTATTAGGGAAATGAGTAGGGACATTCACTATTTGACAGAGAATGAGCAACGGTAGAATAAAGTCTGAATATTGGCTTCCTTTATAATAGCTGACTCAAAAGAAATATCAATAGATACTACAGTGAGATCTGAATTGCCAAGAGGACAGAGTTGTGATAATCTTAAAGAGCTAGAAGAGGGGGTAAGGAACAAATCAAGTAAAGAAGAATGTTGAACAGATTTATTAGGGAAATGAGTAGGGACATTCACTATTTGACAGAGAATGAGCAACAGAAGAAGAAAGTCTGAATACTGACTTCCTTTATGATAGCTGACTCAAAAGAAATATCAATAGATACTACAGTGAGATCTGAATTATCAAGAGGACAGACTTGTTATAATCTACAAGAGCTAGGAGAGGAGGTAAGGAACAAATTAAATAAAGAAGAACCTTGAACAGATTCATTTGGGAAATGTCTACAGAAATCTAGAGACTGTGCAATAGAAAAATTGAAAATCTGATTACTGGCAACATTAAAATGCTTAAGCCTCTTGATATGATGAGCATTAAAATCATCAAATACAAAAGTCTGAGATGGATGTAGAGAAAGAGCTTGTATTATATTATTAGAAATTTTGTTTAATATATCACAGTCCTGAGAAGAAGGATAGTGATAAAGGAAAAAGAGATAGCTAATAGAGTGCAATAACAAAAGTTGAAAGCACATGGAAGAATCATCTGGAGACAGTTCCCTTGCAATTGGGAGATTTTTCTGAATATAAACACTAAGGCCATGCCCTTTACCAAAACAATTCAATAAAACTAAAAAAATAATTTTTTTCTGACAGTCGGTGCTTCCATAATTTAATGAAATATATCCTTTCAGCTCGGATAGAAAAAAACTACATTAAATGTCTATTTTAAAAATAATTCCTTATAACTTTTCAGTTATATTTTTAAATTCATCCCATTGATGCTCATAAGAATTTTTTTTATTAAATAAAAAAAATGTTTGAAGAACTGAAATAATGATAAAATTTAATGCCATTTTTGTGTGTGAACCTTTGTTAAAAGAATTTTATTTTATTTTTCATTTTAACAACTGTTAGATTATTTTTGGTATGGATGTTTAGAAAGGAAATAATTCTGAATTACTGCCTTTGTCTACTTTTCCCTATCAGAAGAGTAATATGATAATTCAATAACTCTTAAATTCAGAATAATTAATTAAAATAAATCATTGGGTGCAATTAGATATTTTATGGTATCAAACAAGTATGGGAATAATAAAAGCAATGTATTAAAGAGTATAGTTTGACTAAAAAGAAAATACTTATTAGTTAAATGATAGCATGCAAAATAAAATTATTCTTTTTACTAAGGTTTATAAAATCGTATAGAATAAAAAATTATAATCTTAAACTATTGGTCATATAAGGTTAAAAATAACTTAATTTTAAACATAATACCAATGTTTCGTTTATTGCACTGCTGGTCTTCTGCATTTGTTTAATTTGTATTATTTATTTTTCACACACTTTTTAAGTAAGGGGTGTAATTATACATGTGTTAATTTGACCTATGATCCCACGTTATTATAATAAACATTATTTTCATTAAGTTTTAACTTTTAAGTAAAAGTAAACATTACTTTTACAAAATCCTGTTAATTAATCTTTAGATTTACTAAATGACTTTGAAATGTATCACGTGGATAAATATTGGATCTTTAAATTTGTTGTTTTAAATTTATTATCTTTAATGTATCGATGAGTGACAAGTGACTGCACCAGTGTTTTAAAAATGCCTAAAACTTTATTTATATATCAAAATTAATTTTTCGTTTAATTCGAATTAGGCTGCTATGTTCCAAATAAAACTGAAATGTATGTTCAAAGAAAGCATTTAAGTTATTTAAAATATTTGGCAGTTATTTTTTGGAAGTTGGTTAAATGACAGTTAAAAAGTGAAAATATTTTTATTTAAGATTTTATTTTTATATAAGTAGACACCCCCACCACCACCTCTACATGGCATCGCTTTGCTTTGGGGGAAAATGATTATACATATATATTAAAAAAAAATCATTACTAGACCTAAATGTTACAGGTAAGTATTGATTAGAAAACTAAAACACTTATGACGAGTAATACGCCTTTCATTTTTAAAATCTACATTTCATTTAATAATTGATTTAAGCTTGCCATGGCAGTGGGTAGTTGGTTCTAAATTTGCATATTTAAATGTAAACTTCCGAATAGTTTCCTATAAAGCGCCATCTATAGTCAACAAGTAAACAATTACTTTTGGCAAGGGAGATTACGCCCAAGTTGGTACTTGTTTGAAATACTGACGAAGTTAACTTAATATTTTTGCGACAATGTCGGCTACACTTGTGCAAACTACAACAGTAGTTAGACCGTTTAAGGTAATTACGATTTTTTAAAGCAATGAGGCTAATTTTAAAATACAGTTTTTTTTCTTCTTTTTTTAAGTTTTTAATACTTTTCTTTTTGTTTTTAACACTAAAAAACAGTGCGAGAGAACTTAAACAAACATCATTTGCGTACTGCAAATGATGTTTGTTTAAGTTCTTATTTTTATTTATTTTGCTATGAGAGAAGTAATTATTAATAATTGTATCAGGTGTTTGCCTTTGACTTATTTTATTCATTACTCAAGTCTGTATTCCTTGATAATCGGTTTTCACTCAGTTTAAAATAAAATCGTATTTCGAGATTTGACTACACCCTCAATTGTCATTTGTTGTTTAGTTAAACCTGTTTTGCCGCCGATTTAATTGTCAAGATGAAGCATTTTAACTTAAAATTTTTAAGTTTTTTTTATTTCTTCCTTCTACAACTATTTCATCACATTTCTTAATGAAAAATCTATCCTATCCATTACTTTCTAGTGGTAGCGTTAATTTAATAAAATTAAAAACTTTTTAAAAAGTTTTCAAACTTTTATTTATTTTATTTTTTATTTTTTTTTTTTTTTTCACCCTTTACGTTTAAGTTAACTTATGAAAAATAAATATCTTAAAAATAATGCTGCAGATTTACTATTGTAAGAATTCTTTTTAAACTTAAGTTTTCAACAGAACTGTTAAATATTGAACTCCAAGCGAATAATTCCAATGTTTTCACTTTTTTCATTGGCAAAGAAAAATTCAGCTTTTTATTGACAAAAACTTATTTTGCATTCAGCTCTCTATTTGTTCATAATTTCATTTTAACTCCGGAAATTCTAAGAATCCGATTCATTTATTTGCAAATAGGCCTGCTTTTAACCTGAAATGAGTCACTGAGCAAATATTTGAAAATAAATAAGTTTAAAACTAGTTACCTTAACTTTTTTTCCCAATATTCAACAGGTGTGAATGACTGACTTTTTTTTTTTTTTTTTTTTTATATACAAGCGAAAATTTGTCTCGCCTGTAGTTTCTAACTACAGATTTTATGCCAAAGAAAGTTTTAAATTCACTTTTTTTCGTCAAATCGAACGCACGCAGTTCTTAATAATCGCTTTAATTTTATTTTTTCTTTAAATTCTAAAAACTTAAGCTAACTTCGCATTAAGTAAACTTCACTTCACATTATGCACGTTGATCCGACCTCGACTTATCAGGTGGATAGAAATTTTTTTTTAAATTCGCAAAGTACAGATGAGAGGAAATGTAGTCGATGCTGTCTAATTTATAAAGAAACTACATCTTATTTTATTGTAAGAAATGTAATTGTTTTATCTTAAAATTAGATCCTTTATTTTATTTAAATAGAGGCGCAGATTAATTCCCGTCTGAGTGGAGCTGTCTGACCAGATAATACCTCGCGTCTGTGGTGTCCTCAAGCAAGAGGAAGTTAAGGGTACTAAAAAACTATTTTGGGCGCTATTACACTTTCGCACCCTCCACACCTTGTATTTCGCCACGATGTAATCTCCCCCTCCGAGAAATGATTTTTTTTCCCCCTGTTGGCTATCCTTTTTGCACTGCTTACACTCATTCATCCCTTCACGTACACTTTACGGTTCATTTCAAACCAAGTATTATGTAGTGGTCCAACGCATTTCCAATCAACAGGTTTTTAAAGACCTCCCCATTTTGAAGATTGGAGCACAGTTTTACAACAATATTGAATTGGATTGACTGGTGCTGTAACTGTGGTTTGCTAGCAGTCCGTATGGAACAAACCTATTCGCGATCGGTGGGCAACAAGATTTGGAGGTGTACATTGTACACACGTAAAGCTTGTGGGTGTAATAGCGCTCAACACAAACGTGTATCCACTTGAATATAACCCTTGAATAAGAAGCAAGTAATAATGATTTAATGCTAAAATTAGGTAAGGTTTAATTAAAGGCTTTATACAAGCTGTTTAGTGTCTCTTAATTTCATTTGTCAGAATACTTGAATTTTACAATTTGTGCATTCAGTTTTTCAAAAAAGTGTTTGGTAACCTGATACTTAAAATGTTGTTCTATATTTAAATGAGACGAGATATGGTTTGCATGAACTTGTGTGATAATTTAAATTAAGACCAATGACTGTAATGACTATAAATCTAGTGTTTTCTTCCAAGTAAAATCATTCTCTAACTAAACCACTTTGCTATTTGTTGTCAGAAATCTAATGAAACTTGTTCACCTTTGTTTCTAATTTCAGTGGATTGCTGTGATTGCTGGTTTTATTGCAATTATTTTGCTGATAGTCTCCATTGCAGGAATTAATTGGATTGAAGGTCAAGAAAATGACACCATTTTGCTTCAGGGTTTGTGGAAAAGATGTAAAACAAAAGCTGATGTAGAAGATTGTACACAAGAAAGCGTTTTGAAAGGTTTATAATCTATTTTCTTATTACGCTAATTACTTGTAAAGTGTCTCCGGTTTATAACCAACATCTTGTAAATTGTAAAACAAATCTTGATAGATTACCATTTATTTTTACTATCAATAAAATAAAATTTCATGAATATGGCTAGTAATTATTTGTAAGACCCATGACTATATTAGTACAATTAAACCTTTCTTTTTAAATGTTTTATATTCTATTAAACTGTATTATAAATTTCAATGTTTGAGTTGAAGATATAGATTTAACTCTGACAAAATAATTAAGGAGACAGTAGAAAAACCTTCATAAATCTAATGTTTAGATATTTAGCTTAATCAGGATTTTCAAGAAATATTTGTGAAGGTTATCCTGTTCCTTATTTAATCATTAATCTTTAATTGTTAATCTGCCTTTATCTTCTCTGTTGCTAACCAAAACACTCTATCAAATATTTGACAAAAGAAAAAAAATGTATATTTGGATAATGTTTATTTTTGTTCTATTCTTTTTTTTTTTTTCTAAAGATATCTAATGTGGGTAAGTTTACACATGTTATTAACAATAACATTATAATATATATATTGACTTATCATTTTACATTGGTCTACATTCAGAATAGATTTCAGGAATAATTGCCCACATCTGACCTTTTGTATTACAGCAGTGTTTGATCTATAAAGATGTATGCCAGATTTGCCTATAGACTCTGAAGGCTGAAACTCAAAATCTAGGGTGTTCTCTATCCAAGATGTATTATGTCTTTGATATTGTTACAGGCCTTACACATGCTGTCATAACACATTGTAGACTCTAAATAACCCTTTGGTAATTTTAAACATGCATCATGTTCAGCCATAATCAAATGGTTTAATTTTCCTCTACTTGAGAGAATAGGAGATTTGGAGTTGGTAAAACTATACCAACTCTGACTCCAGTTGAATTTACACTTTATGCAGAAAGTCTTACATTATAGAATTTTAATTTTTATTTCTTTTACTGTATATTTACTATTTCCTTTTAAAGAAATTCATCTCCACTTTTTTAAAGTCACTTATTTTTGTATTTGCAAAACTAAATGGGTAAATAAAAATCTTACCTTTTATAGAATTCTTTTATGTCTTACATCCTGAAAAGTGTCACATTATGAGATGAGTTAGTGTATGCATAGGCTTTGAGATTTGGAGGCCATAATCACTTAGTCGGTGGTTTTGTGTTCTGACTCCACGGCCCTGCTCACAAGTGAAATAGCCAAGGGCCTCTCTCTTCCAAATCCGGCCCTGCTCAGCACCCTCATATAAATAAGTCTAAAAAGCAGAAATATGCATTTCCCACCAGCAGAAATTTAAATTTTGCATTACTGATTATTTCTATTAAATAAATTTCCTTATGCTATGTTTAAGTGATTGTATTGGTGAATTTAAACCATTATGTGATTTCATTTGTGGTACCAAAATTTTCTGCCATTGAAGGTGACTCTGATCCATGAACAACAATGCTTGAATTTCAAAGTTGTGTTGTCATATCCTACTTTGGCAACAGGAAACAACTTTGAGTGGGATTAACAGTAAGGATAATGCAATTGAGACTTTGAAAAAGAATTCAGTGGAAAGGGAAGTAATATTAATAATGCAGATTGCTAAAGTTAAATATTTAACTCTTTATAATTGAAATATTCAAAGGAGGAAATATTTTTTTTATATATATTTCTTAAATGGAACATTTCTTATTTCAGCTTATCATAAAGTGACTGCTGCCCTAAGTATCATTTCTCTGCTGATTTGCATAACTGTAACTTTAGTGGCAACAGTGACTTTAATCAGTGGATGGGATGCACAGAAGAAACGTAAACTTTACTTTATTTCTGGCATAGGTATGGTGACTGCCTGTAAGTATCTTCCAAATTAAGAATTAGATTTTATTTTAATGTTAAAATGTAAGCTGTTTGTAAATGATACTATTAGATTTTTTGTGTGTGTTTGCATAATTATCAGGCATTTTTAAACAATTATGAAAAAAAAGAAACATAACCATTCAAGGACATTTTTAAATGATTATTCCAGAGTGTATGATTATCAACATGCATTTTTATAACCTGAAAAAAAGATTTTTATTAAAGAAACTAAAAACTATTTTTATTAACTCTCCTACAAAAACACCTGATAATTATACACCAACCATATATATATATATATATATATATATATATATATATATATATATATATATATATGTATATAAAGCATTTTGAAATTTCTGATGCTTTGATTTTGTGGTCCCACTTTCTTATTAAAACACTTTCCCTGATGTTTATATTGTTGTACTTGCTTGATTTTGACATCTCCAATTTGTAATTTGCATGTTGGGTTGTTCCTCTTGCTGACTACCAAATATTTAATCTAATTATTCTATATGATGTATTTATGTTGCTATAGAAAATTCTAATTTTATTTTGATCCATCTGTTTGATAACTATACTAGTAAACCTGTAGACTAACAAATAGTTATCAGAAATTTGCTCTGAAGCTCTGATTATGCATAGGATATGAATATTAACCACTGAATTATATTGAAATGCTTGGTAAACTATTTTTATCATTGACTTGTAAACTTATGTACCTTACATAAAATAAGTTTACTGTTATAGTTAATAAGTTTTGTGTTAGACAGAACTTCTGGGACATATAAGAAAATGCTTGTGAGAATTTCTCACAGGGCATGTTTAAGAGTTCTGGGTGAGGGCAGCAAGTAACTGGTATAAACAGATGGCATGGTGAAAAGACAGTTGTTACTGATTAGCTACATCCTGATGGGCAGTACAATGTTAACTTTGATACTGAACTCCAAGAACTGTTTTTCTTTATAGAAAGGTGACTTATTTCTTTGTGATATTGAGACAAGTGGCATGCAGTGATGAAAAGATTGGTACAAACTTTAATAAGTCTAAATTTGGCTGTCATTATTGGTCAACCTAAATTCTGTTGACATCTATTTTTTTTTTTTTTTTTTTTTTTTTTATTGTAACCTCAATACAACTAACATTAATTTTTTTTTTTTTTTTTTTTTTTTTTTTTTCCCTCAAACTAAAGTCTACATGACTCAACTGATAGGCAAGTAGCTAATTTATAAACATCTGAATGTAAATGTCTTAGTATTTTTACCTGAATATTAAATCCACTTGTCTCTATATACAGTAATTATTTTTTTTTGGGTTGGTGTTAAGAACTTGTTAATCTTGAGCTAACTTTGACATATGCTTGTTCAAATGTCTTGCATGAATTCAACTTTTTTTTTTTTTTTTTTTTCCAGTAATCTTGGAACTTATGGGATTAGTTGTATTTATTCCAAGTGCCAAAGCAGAGTTACCATTAGATGCTGCTATTGACAAGTGGTGGTATGGTTGGGCTTTTGGTGTGGCTTGGGGATCCATTATTTTGATGCTGGGATCAGCTGTTCTCCTGCTGATAAAACAGGAATCTCAGGAACTTTCTCATGAAGAGAAAGTTTACTACACAAATGAAACTGCTGCTTAAATGAATAGTTTGTTACTTTGTTATTAACATTGAATGTGCTTAATTAGAAATTAACTTGTTATACAGGTTACAATATTAAAACCTCCTTTATACATAAGGATTAACTTTTGCTTTTAAAGTTGCTTTTCTAAAAGTAGTTTACTTCATTTTTGGCTAGCATTTCTTTCATTTTAATTTCTTTTTTTGTGCAGCTACTCAGATCATCATCTAATGTATATTGGTCTGAATATTTTAACTAGTAAGGTGATATTGCCACTAAGGCATAATGGGTTCTTGTGAAATCATGATGTTAGTAAGAAAGGACATTTAAGGAACGTGATTCAGGAAGACAGATGTTGGAATGGAATTAAGATAAAAATTGCTAGTCAAAAATTGATGGTCTATAATGCTTAATGTAAAACTAATATCAATTTAATTTTACATGACCCTTAGGCTATTTTGTATTTACCTGTATATAAATATGTAAATCTAAATTCATGAACTCCTTTTCAAATGTCTTGAGAAGGAAGATTGGAAATTTTTTCAATTCTAAGCTAACCAACTAAAATGTTAGTTATTGCATTGATATGAAAACAAACTTTGGCTTTATATTGTATAGTCTTTGAAAAATACTGCTTTCAAAATTCATGATACTTTAATATTCAAATTTTTCGAAATAACTTAATTATATGTATTCATTGTGCCTTTTTGGTATCGATTCATGACAGTTTTTTTTTTTTTTATTTTGATTTATTTTACAAATGTGAAAATTAAAACACCAACCACTGATCTAGATAACATCACTTATTTGCAGTTTATTTTTCCAAATGCAAGCAAGCACTTTTTAAAAATTTTTTTAAATATTGTTTGAACTTATGTAGAAATATTTCAAGTTAGTCTACTTTTTTAAAAACTTATTTAACAATATATATATATATATATATATATATATATATATAAATTAGTAACATGCTATGCCTACATGAACATTTTATTACAGTTGGTCTAATATCCTCATCTTATCTGCAGCTTCAATGTTGTGCACTCCTACCTCTTGGTATATTGATCTGAACTCCCTTTCCAATCTAAAGGGGCAGGTTATTATAGCTTGTGGGTAGTTCAGTTTTTACTAATTCTGTACTACCTGGTCCAGGGACAGGACTAGCAATAACTGAGCAATAGGTTAACAAAAAAAAAAATCCAGACATGAATAACAGTATAGTAATAATCTACCATAGACTAGTTTCATTTGAAATTTTCTAAAACTTTAATCAAGATATTTTGAATACATGCTGGAAGGCACAATGGTTAAAGCAAAATAGTAACATAAGGACACTAGTTTGACAGTAATATAATTTTTTTTTTTTTTTTTTTTTTTCTTACCCATGAAAATTTTTTAATCATTTCACCCAAAGCAAGGCAAAGCCACTAAGATGCAAGGATTACTCGTATTTTAAAAGGTTACTGTTTCTCTGAAAATGCTTGTGTAGAAGGCCTTGATTGACAATTGAATTTTTTTTATTAATGTTGATACATATCTTGACATGGCTAGGTCATATATGTTGCTGCCTTATAAATTTGGTGTTAACACCGTCTTGAGCAATCAGAAAGATGAGCATATAAAAATGACATACTTACCTGCATTTAACATATAAAGATGAAGTGTATTTAATTTATTCAAAACTAAACTTCATGTCTTTTAATGTTAATTCTGAATTGGCTGTATACACTTCAGTGTTTTCAAGTGGTTGATGTGTTTTCATTTTATTTCATGTTTACACACATTGACATTTTAGTCACACTAAATGAAATACCCGAAGAAAATCATTTCATTAATGTAGTACTAACTACATGTATTTTTTTTTTTTTTTTAACAATCTCAAGATTTATATTCATTTAACATTGTTACATTAGAATTTTTGTTCTTAAAGTTTCAAAGCATTTTTCTGTATTTGTACATTCCAAAATTAAATTTTCAGTTGAATTTTTCCAACTGAAAACCGTCCAAGTGACAATTATCAAAATGCCTTTAAATATTTTTAAACACTGTTGATAATTCTAAAATTTACATTCAAATATGCAACAATATTTAAATTTATTTTTTATTTTTTAAACATAGTTTTATTTTTTTTATTTAACATTTACTTTTTTTTTTTTCCTGAAGTAAAACTATAAGTTGGAAATAAAAACCTGAAATGTGAATTTTCATCTGTAACTATTAAAAAAGCGTCTACTTTAAGTTGTACAATGTCACTGATCTGTGGCTTAATAAGGCATTTGCCTCAAGCGAGTCCTTTTCAAGGGAAAGGAAATAAGTTTAAATGAATCTCACTCAATTTGTGCTGCTAAATGACTGTAGAAGGAATTAGATTTACTATAAAAAGCAAATAATACTAAATACCAAAATTTTTGGTATATGAACATTTTTCAGCTTACATTGGATAAGATCAAAATTTAATCTTAATCTCATATTAGCCTTTTTGCAAATAACTATTTTGTAAGTTAGTATATAATACTTATAATTTGGTTTATAAATTCGCATTTTATGGTATAATAGAAATATATAACACAGGAAATCAATGTAAGTGAACTTTTCTCTTTAAATTAGAACTTTTATGAAATTCATACAAGACTGCACACCATGCAAATAGAATGGTTTCAGAAACTTATAGAATTTTTGTATTATATTTAGTGACCAGAACTTCATTCTCCTTCTTTTTGTAATAAAAGGATTCCTAAATATTCATGCTCTTGTCTTATTTCTTTCTTTTGTGGTTTCCCTGCCCTAGTATCTCAAAGGTTTTTAAATTACTCTATTTATAGTAACTTGCATGTGTTTATAATCTAACAGCACAAATTTAACCTTTTAGTGACAAAACTGTTGCAAAATTTAAATGGTATAAATTGTTTTTCATTTATCTACTTTAAAACCATAAGTGTTTGATATCATTAAAGTATACTTGCATATGAGCACTTCTAGTGATTGTTAGATAAACAATTTTTGAAACACTAGTTTTAAAGGTGAAAGTATTTTATTAAATAGAAGTGGGGGGGGGATGCATTTTGATAAAATAAATTTTTTTTTTCCTATCAATTTTGCTTCTACTTAAACAGTGCAGTATAATTTTCAAATAATGTTACCCGCCTTTAACTAAGTTAAGTATAATTGTCTTATAAAGTGGCCTACCTAATTAAAATCACTTCTAGATAAAAAAAAAAAAAAAAATCATTTGGATTGAGGATTTCAGTGTGGTGAATCTATGCTAGTTAATATCAATAGTAACTATTATAGAACAGATTCCCAAGAGGATACTTTCCTGATCACTACAATCCTAACCAAGTTAAATTCTTTCAGTGACCCTCTTTCTTGTTCTTAGGCCTTGTATTAAGTGAGATATATATATAAAATTTCTAATTATACAATAACATAATCACTTAAATTTCAGTTTTAAAATTATCATCTTAACCAGATGCATAAGCTAAGTGATAATAAATTTCTATCTAAATACTTGCCTATATTTTAATACCCTTAGCAAGGATTTAATTTTAGTAATATATACATAACTAGCTTTAAAAATTCACAAATGTTGATTATAGCAGTTGTAACTTGATGTATCTAAAACTTTAAACAAAAATGGTAGTCAAATCAATATTTTGAACTCTAAATTCTAATAACTGGAAATTTAACATGCACATTCTTTTAAAATAGAACCAAGACTGCTGGCATCATTTGTTGCATGAGGCTTGATTATGTCCGTCATAAATTCAAGTTATGGCAAAATTTGATCAGATCTGAAATTATAGCTTTGATTATAAAATTCACAATTTCAAATAAACTTAGAATTCATGCAGAGTTAAAAAAAAAAAAAAATCAAACTGAAATACCATATCTGTATTAGACATCTTAAAAACAAAAAGTACATATTTTTTTTTTTTTTTTTTTAAAAGTATTTTATTTTAGAAATACAAGACAAACAGATGAACATAAAAGAATTGCTGTTTTGCCAGTCAACAGCCATTTTGGTTAAATGAGGACAGTTCTACCCAAATGCCCCTGTGGTGCATGATTTTTTTTTTTTTTTTGCTAACACCACTTAGTAGGCAACTCTCCAGCAAGGCACTAAACTAACAATCCAATAGCCTGACTCTTCATTGTTCTTTGCTAATAAAGATTGATTACAATTATTAAATTTGGAAGTAAATTTCATTAATAAAAAAATAGATGTGTAAGTTTTTTTAATATTCTACATTAATATGCGCCATTTTTTTATATTTATTTTTTTTAAATGTAGTTTTGAAAAATAATTCAATACTTCTCAACAAATTCAACCAGAAACTTAAATGTTCTCTTGAAAATAAGCAGCATTTCCTTTATAATGATAGAGAGAAAAAGTTAAAAGTATCCAAGACAGTAGTAGTATTTTTTTTTTTTTTTTTTTTTTGTGATAGAACAATTTAGGTTTTAATATTTTATAATAAAAGGAAATATAACAAATTTTACTTTAAGCAACAATGATTGGTTTAACAATTGAATATATGAGAAGTTACTGAAAAGTTCACAGCACAACCAATAAACCCTCAAATAAAAAATATCTGGTCAAATTTTAAGAAGGGGGATTGGACTGCTAACTTCTTAGCACACCCTCATAATTATGAACATTGAGTTGACTGCAAGAAGACCTAAAAGTTTGCAAAAATAGATGACAAAATAGCATTTGAATACTACTATGGATGACATTTTTGGTTTTCTTGGAGTCAAACTGTTCTTTTTCTTTTTATCAACAGTTGTATTTTATTTTTTTTTTTTTTTTTAATGACTGAAATAAGTCATCGTTTGTAACTCCATTTGTATTAGGTAAAAATAATTTGGGAAATTTGAAGACAGCTTTCTTATTTTAAAAATCTATGACTAAGTGATAAAATCTTGCACAAACAGCACCGATGAATGGTAAAAGCAAAGCTGAAGAATCTTTCTCACTGAATTGTAAAGAGGATAAGCTAACTGTTCAACTTGTTTATCACCTGAAATAATCCATATACTCCACGATTCATTTTTTTTTGGGGGGGGGGAAGAAGATTGACTTTTAAACTTAAGAAAAGACCAAAATTTCAATAGCAGTTTTACTTTTTTTTCTTAAAAAGGAAGTTACAATCACTTATATCAAGAATGTTATGTTGTGTTTGTTTTATTTTTTTTATATAGTAGCATAATTTCTATGGGTTATTTAATGCTGAAATCTAAGTATGTTGTATGCAATTTTTGAGATAATGTTTTAATGATAACAAGTTTTACTAATTAACCCATAGCTGGGGAGGAGAAGAGGTGGATTAATACCTTTCCCAATAGTATTTGAGTGTAAGTGAAGATAACAAACTCAACTGGAATTGGAACTCGGCTCTCCAATTAACAATTCTGAGCCATTATCCATTGCACCACCTGCACATCGAAGCTTACAACACCTGGTATTCCCAAGTGGTCACCCATCTAGGTACAGGCCAGGTTCAATGTTGCTTAACTTCGGTGATTGGACGGGAACCGGGATTTCAACATGATGTGGTTGTAAGGCTTGAGTACTAATGTGTAGATACATGAGAGAGTGTGTTTAAAATTTTCATTTATATGAGATTAGAGGTTATATGCTACAGATTCTTTTAAAAGAAAAAATTCACTTCAATTTCTTTTCATATATAACTCATATTTATGTTTTTGATTCCGAGTATAGCAATTGTTAAAAAAAAAAAAAAAAAGAATTTCATTAAAGCATATATTTTTGTTAATCTGTCCACGTTAATCAAAATATTTAAAAGAAACTGATGGACAATGAAATTTTATTATGAAATCAATTTTTTTTTTTCTTTCAGAAGAAAATTGATTTCAACAATTTTTTTACTGACAAATAACAAACGCAACAAATTTAATCAAGAAAAACTTGGCCTTGTATTTTTTTTATCATTTTGGTCAAGTAAGAAAAGAGATTTTTTTTAAACATTTTTTTTTTTCAATAAAAGTATAATTTTCATTTAAGAAATATTTGAATTAAAAATGGCAAAAGCAAAAACAAACTGAATTTATAAAAGAAAAAAAACTTCCCATATTTTTAATTTAAGTCAGAAAATATTTAAACTTGATAACTCACTAAAATTAGTTCAATGTACAAATGGACAGCAATTATTACATCAGTCTTTATTTTATTATTTATTTTTAATAAAAATCTAACATTGATGTATTCTTTGAATTAGTGTGTTAAGTTAGCTGTACTGTCATGGTTTAGTAATAGACTTTCTGAAAAATAAATTACTAAAAAAAGATTTACTTAGGTTTGAATAGAGTAGCCAGTATAAAATGTGTGAGTGGATGTGCAAGTAGAAAAAAAATATAAGTATTCTGCATAGAATTCAAATTAACATTGATTAGTACATTTTCTAATGACTAAAAGAAAATAGGAGGAGGAAGAACTGAAAAATAGGCAAACAAGTCTAAGAGTAGTGAGAAAATGACATATACAGGGTGTGGAAGAAATACCTCCCAAATTAGACATTAGTAGCAATGGTGTCTTTATCTAGCTAATGTCTTAACCATTATGTGGGAGGTATTTCTGAAATACTGTATAAGAAAATACATTTTCGGGAAATAACACTAATAATACAGTTTTTATTAAAACTTGCTTAAGTTTGAAAATAGACAAGAAAAGTTTTTATATCGGGGTGACAAAAACCAAAAACAAAAAACAATGCTTATAGTTTCACAAGAAAAGCACTCATTAAGTATTTGTAGCCAAAGGAAGAAAAAATGTCTAACAACTTTCAAGACATTACAGATCTAACTTGTAATTGTTAGTGTTATATACAGTGAGTATACTTATACACAAAATATTCTCATACCAATTTTTTTAATTAGAATTTAGAAGAGTTTACTATCTTTAAGTCCGTTCTATCACTAAGTTTACAATTTCATTTTAATACATCTTTTATTGAAATGTAGTAGGCCATTTTGATTTAAAAAAGAAAAAAGAAAAGAAAAAAGAAAAAAAAAAAAAAAAAAAGAAAAAAAAAAAAAGAAAAAGAAAAGAAAAAAAAAGAAAAAGAAAAGAAAAGAAAAAAGAAAAAAAAAAAGAAAAAGAAAAGAAAAGAAAAGAAAAAGAAAAAAAAAAAGAAAAGAAAAAGAAAAGAAAAAAGAAAAAAAAGAAAAAAGAAAAAAAAGAAAAAAGAAAGAAAAAAGAAAGAAAGAAAGAAAAAAGAAAGAAAGAAGAAAGAAAGAAAGAAAAAAGAACTTAAGCAAAGATGTAATTTATCTTATGAAGAATGTTTTTTAAATATGCATCCAAGAAATAGGATACTTTACATTCATAAAATGAGATATATAACCCTCATTGCATTCACATCCACTATTTTATATTTAAACACAATCACACAACACTAATACATAAATATCTTGAAATCTATTTATTTCAAATGGCTCTAAAGCTCTGCACCTGTTATTTATTTTAGTTTCCTGTATGATAAATAAAAATTTTATATAGTCTTTAATTAATGTTGTTAGTCTGCTTATATTCTAAATATGATTTATTATCTTAATATGGGATGAGTTATTGCTTTTACAATCCAAATATCCAAGTTTGATTAAGGCTGATCAATATTTTTTTCGGGAAGACCAGCCTGCATCAACTGAGTCAATCCAGTCTGTGAATGCTGAGTCCAGTTTCGGTCGACTATGTTAAAAAACCATTCAGTAAATCTGCGTAGTTCGGCAGCAGCAGTTTGTGATTCCTCCTGCAGTCTCTTGTTTTCAGCTCTCAGCTTATTCAATTCACTCTCATAGCGTAAATTCTTCTGCTTTTCCTGCAAATCCAAAGTAAAATATACATATCATTATTTGCTGTATGATAAAGCTGTACTTAAAAACGTATATATACATCAGGTAATGTAAATTTCATAAAAAGGTACAAGTATGTTCACAGCAGTGCCAGTATTAGGCACTGCTGTGAACATACATACAATTAGTTATTATTATTGTTATTATAATTATTATTATTATTACAATTGTTCTGATTATTATTATAATAAGTTTTTGTGATATCTAAAAGGATTAATTGGTGATAAAGAGCTCTGTATAATATTTAATCACTTTAAATTTAACATATACTATAGCCATTATCTTTTCTTCAGTGATAGAGTTTATATTTTTATAAAAGTTCTTTCTGTTAGAGTAAGTGAAAATAAACCTGAAATAATTTTCTACTTCTGAACATTCAGATTCCTTACTCAAAATAAATATAACAGAAAAGAAATAAAATCTCTCACCAATTCTAGATTTTCATACAGGCTTTGCACTTTCTGCTCAAGTTCCTTGATTCTTGGCTGTTGGTTATAAATTGCTGCTCTCTGAATACTGCTGTAAAAACAAAACAAATATATATATATATATATATATATATTTAAAACATTTTCATGTTATAATAGAAATTAATAAAAATTATTTAAAAAACCCCAAATAGTCATGACTAATAAGTAGATAAAATATATAAGTATATATATAAAAAAAAAAATTATCTTTGGTGGCTATCCTGGTTGCATACCAATTTTAATAGTTTAGACTAGTAGTAGACATCCATTTATCTCACAAAATAATGGTAGTGCCCCTTTCAAAATTCAGTCCTTTTGGTGGTACACTAGAGTGACCTTTCCAGGGCAGAGACCTGGGTGATGGTGTATGGAAGCTGTGCACTGCCCAGTTTATATGGCCCACCTCTCATTTTGCCTTAATTTAGACCAGGGGGTCACCAAACTTTTTTTTTTTTTTTTTTTTTTTTTACAGTGGGCTGGATAACTGAAAGAATGACAAGAGTGGGACGCATAATCATTCTGTTCAATACTTGCAAGCCAGAATGAAAGCTCTGGCGGGGAAAAAAAGACAAAACACTAAGTTTAGTATCCCATGTTAATCATGGGTGAGTGGTGTGCATTGCACAAAAAACAAAGACAACCAACATATTTATTTACTTAAAACTTATCAAAGAAGGTAACTTTAGCAAAATATATATACATCAGACCTAGTGTGCACATATCCGAATCTTACAAACTAAGCAGTAGAAAATGTCAGTTAGATTTGTGAAACTGATGTTTGACTTTCAAGATATCATCAATGTTAGGTTTGGAATTGCTGCATCCAATTAAGAGAATTGCTCGATGTGCTGATTTCACATACTTCATTTTTGAAAATGTTTGCTCACAGACATAAGTTGTTCCAAACAAGGATGCCATACCAGCGGCAAATTTCTTCAAACTCAACATCAAGTAAGAAGTGGTAAAATTCAACAAGTGTTCCTTCTCAAGTCATTTGCTTGCTAATCAATGAGCTCCAACTGTAGTTAAACTGGTACATAATCAAGGTTACAATCAAATGGATTCTGGAACAGAAGAATGTCACTTTCAACTCTGAATACTGACTGGTCACCTATTCAGACTACTATCCCAAGATGTACAGACAGGCACCCCCCACTTTTTTTTTTTTTTAGCCAAATTCCTTTTTGGTCATAATCTAAAAATGAGTTGTTTTTTTTTATTTTATTTTTTAGTAAATATAAAGGTAGCAAAAAAAACCCCAAAAAAACAAAACTCAGATTGTATAAATATGGCACAAAAAAATAAAAAAAAAATAAAATAAGAAAATCTTACTACTTCTCTCTTGGTGGAAGTCCTGTATTCTCAGTAGCTATTTTCGGCTGCTTCAGTCCTTGTTCTGGTTGGTGGTGACTAGAACTCATTTGGTTGCCTAATAAATAACATAGTAAATTTGCAGAGAGAATGTTTTATGTGTTAAACTACATAACAAATATCATTTTTTTTCATTTTCTTTCCAATATTTAAACTACCAAGAAACAAATGCAGATAAGAGCACAAATTACTCTTCAAATTTCACATAAGGATGGATTTGACTTGGTCAATTGAAAAATCAAGTTACTTTGGAACAGATTTTAGAAACAATTTTCTCATATTTTGTATATACAAAAAAAAAAATAGAGCATTAAATCTATAATCTGACAGTTAATTGAATTTTAATCAAATTTTCACTGTATAATGTGTTACCTATGTAATTGAGGAAAAGGTGTCAAGTTAATCTTTCAGACATTAGCAGTTGTTTAAAAACTTGAATTAAAATATCACTAAGACTAGACAAATTTTTTAAAAGCAAATATCCTAAACTTTGATCAAAGAACCATACAAACTTTAAATATATGAATTGATCAGTCAATCAAGGCTGATCATAGTCACAAACATAGATTCATTGTGAACTCAACAATCCCTACTCTTAGACTGGTTGCCAACCACAGCTGAAGAGTCCAGTCTTTTTTATTATTTAATACACAGGTGGGAGGAGATAGATAGATTCATACATTTCCCAAGGGTATTTGAGTGTAAGTGAATGCAACAAACTCAACTGAAATTTGAACTCAGATCTCTGATTTTCTGAGCCATTATCCCTTATACTATTCATGCATCCACCTTTAAAGTAAACGTTATTTTAATTCAAAGATAAAGGTTTTCTAGTCTAGTAAAGTG